ATTATTATAATTATAATTCATAAGGATATGGGGAGGTCAGCATACAGGAGGTCAGCTACTAACAAAACAGTAAAGAAGCGAAAACCGTCGATAGCTAAAAGTCGATTAATAGGCTATCGGTCGATAAGCATTGGCAATCGAAAAGCCGATTAATAGGCTAGCGATCGATAAACATTGGCAATCGAAAAGCCGATAAATAGGCTAGCGGTCGATAAAGTGTTAAGTGGCCAGGAACGTAGAGATTACCGATCGATCGAACGCACGCTCGCGGACTGAGAATTTTCTGTGAAATTTTACGATCGTGCCTTGCGAAGATCATCATCATCGTAACAGATCGTTAAAATCGAATCGCTGCACGAAGTCAGTTTTAGAATTTTGGCTAATCGAGCGGTAATATTCGTGTCTTCGGGCAGAATTCTGGAGAACGATATTCCTTGCGAACAGTGCAGAGATTTTATAGGTTTCAGTAATTCTCCGAATTATCGGCTGTCCGTACGTAATTTTTACGCAGCGTAAAGAAATTATAGCAATTCTTATTTACTGCAGTTTCTCAGGTAAATACATGTATAGATCGCTTTTTCGTTATCGATGTACTTGTGATTATTAGATCGCGGATCTTCATGCAAAATAAAAATTGGCCGCATCGATTGCAAGCCACAGATGATACCGAGACATTTCTTCCTTCCTTTAATTGTTTTATCGAGTTGAAAATAATGCAATGCTATATCTTAATTCTTGAAATGTTATCGGCGCTTTGTATTCGATGTATCAATTTTTCCTATAAATGCATAAAATCCGCGGTCTAGCGATTATTTACGGTTCTGCCATGTTTCCAAGCTTTCCGATTATAATACAAAAGGAATTGGTTGTAAAAAAAGTGTCGAACATCTCGAACGATGTCTTTGTCGCGCTGCTAAAGATATTTCTCGAACGTCCGTTCTAATTTTTGAGTAATGTAAAGTATGCATTTTGCGCGAGAAAGAAACTATGACAAAACGTTGAAACGCTAAAAACCGTAGCGATTATTATAGCCGACTAAAATGGAAAATGCAATAATGACTTATTGAAACGAGCGTTAACAAGAATCACCAATATTCCGCTGTGCGCCGATCCATGATTGGAGACCGGATTGTTGGAATTGTTACGACTCCGATAAGGAATCTCGAACAATCGGGCAGCTGTAATTAAATTTTCACGGTTACTCGGCTGTAAAACGCGAAACGTTAAGCGTCGGCTTCGCTCGTTTCTTTGAAACTGTGTCACCTTGCAGATTGCAGACCCCCAAGTCTTACAGTACCGAGTCAAACTCGCAGCGAAGACCTTACCGACTATGAATGCTATTCGTTTCTCTTATGTTGGAGCGAAAACGAATGTTGCTTTTAGCGATGCTTACGCGCGTTTCAAATAATAATATTATCAACGATATTTTCACATTAGTCGAACGAACCACCATGGAAAAGAATGAGGAAACTTGGACACTTTTTCTCGAGTCGCGTTCCCCAAGAGAAATTTTTGGCGACAGTGCAGTTTTATTAGCAATATTGTAGCCGATGAAAAAGTGAGGCCTCCCGTACAACGCGCTGACCTTTCGATAATAACCTGTGGGAATGGTAGTTTCGTATAACAGTAATCTAATCTAATGTAAAGGGTGTACGCGGGGTCAGCAGCGTTTTAGTTGGAAGAATCGAGCGTCGTCGATATCGCACGAGTCGTCTGAACGACGTCATCGTATCACGCAAAAACGAACGTGTTCTAGAAGTTTGCATAAACTTTCGCAACATGTAAAACTTGTGAAAAAAAATTCAACGGCCTGTAACCTTAAATCTTGAAACAACGCTAAAATTATCTTCAGCCACGGAGAGCGAATCCGTGACCACTGCGCGCCGTCGCATACAATGTGCCGCGAAATAATACGATAATCACCGTTGATCCATCTTCCGCGGCTTTCAGTGGCCAAGGATACCTTCGCGAAGTACACTGTAGAGTCCGACAGACCTAGCAAAAAACAACACGAGGTGAAAAAGAGTCGTAAGGCAAGGGGCTCTACCGTCGTTTCGGTCTCAACGCGTCGATATTTACAACAATCGGGAAGAAAGTCTTATCGAGAGTCTACCAATCGAAGGGCAATTGCGATCGGCCCGTCCTTAGAGCACATGCAGATTCTCGCAGCTTTTGCTCTTGCTGTCGTTCAAGCACATCTTGTTGAGTATCTCGCGTGCCAAGTTCAGGCTGAGAGCGGTCTTGCTACCGTGCAGCTTCGAGAGCGCCTTTCTCTTGCTGCCCTGTCGTTTCAGCTTCTTGTCGCGCGTCTCTCGTAGCCGGATCTGCTTGAGAACGCCGACGAGAAGCTCGTCCACGTTGTGCTGTATGCCGCTGGACGTCTCGATGAACTTGCACTCCCTAGACGCAGCGATCTGCTTACCCTCTGCAAAGAAACGGAGAACACGATCACGGAAATGGAAGCTCCTGCCGCGATTCTCGCGTTCCGTTCGTCCATGCGAGAGCAATCGCGTCTCTTTGGCGCGATTCGGAGTCGTTGCAGTTCTGTAACGGAGAGCGGCATGGGACACCGTAAAATCCCGTTTGTGAAATAACGAGCTCCGAAAGCACTGTTGGGACCACGTGAAGAAATACGTAGGCCTACGTATATAATGCCAAAGTGCAGAGTTAAGAATTGATACTAAAGGTTCGTTTTTAAATCGTTGAAATCGTAACGATTCTTTCACGGGAAAGAATCTCAGTGCTCGACAGATTTCGTATTAAGGATTGAAAAGCCTGTGATCGAGCGGACGAATTAATATCGAATACTTTTTTTATATACGTATTTTGACTACATGTTAAGTGAATCTTGCGAATAGGGGTTGTTTTCAGAGTAAATCAGCGCACGTACATCACTAAATAAGAATGTGATTTTACTACTAGAGAGAGAGAGAGAGAGAGAGAGAGAGACTCGACATCTTATACCAATCACTGCATTTATCATAACCACAGTAATTAGTTGTAACAATTCAGGAAAACTCGTAATTATGATACAATCCAAAATTATTCAGAAGCAACACGATATGATTACACAAAATATCGCCCGCTCTAGGACGAAAAACGAGGCAGGGCGGTCGCCGCGTTACCTAGCATACTTTCGTCAAGATCCCCCGCCTTTAACCCCTAGACTACTGTGGGCGCCCATAGGCGCTTAGGAATTTTGCGTTTGTGACACTCGGAGCGCCTATAGGCGCTCGACGCAGTTTTGTTTTCTGACACGGAGGGCGCCTATAGACGCCCAGAAAATTTGATCGATATTTATTTCGATAGATCTTATCTCAGTTAGACGAGAGACAAGTTTTACATTAATATTAAATTTGTAACATTTATAGTAATTCGATTCAGAGAAATAAATAATATTGTTTTCATGTGGCGAAATTTAGTTTTTCAAATATTGAAATATGTTTTCACAAAAATGCATCCCTATCCAAAAGTTCGTTCAATGTTAGTTGAATTTCTGCCGTATGGTACGGCCGACGCGTCTCAAAGTCTGCCGTAGTCAAGGGGTTAATGTGTTAAATGATATTTTTCGGACGCATCGTATTCCGTTTCATTTGTATGTCAAGGGGTTAATCGAATTGTGCAAGCATCTTACCGTTCGACGAGATTGTGCGACATCTCTCGAGGTCGGACTTGTTGCCAACAACGATAACCGATCGCTCCTGGGTGTAGTGCTCCCGCCATAGGTAATTCAATATCTCCTCGGCGATCTGGAAGCTCGTGCGAGACACGATGGAATAGACGACGATACAGGCATGCGGCTCGTACGTCGANCGCGTTACCTAGCATACTTTCGTCAAGATCCCCCGCCTTTAACCCCTAGACTACTGTGGGCGCCCATAGGCGCTTAGGAATTTTGCGTTTGTGACACTCGGAGCGCCTATAGGCGCTCGACGCAGTTTTGTTTTCTGACACGGAGGGCGCCTATAGACGCCCAGAAAATTTGATCGATATTTATTTCGATAGATCTTATCTCAGTTAGACGAGAGACAAGTTTTACATTAATATTAAATTTGTAACATTTATAGTAATTCGATTCAGAGAAATAAATAATATTGTTTTCATGTGGCGAAATTTAGTTTTTCAAATATTGAAATATGTTTTCACAAAAATGCATCCCTATCCAAAAGTTCGTTCAATGTTAGTTGAATTTCTGCCGTATGGTACGGCCGACGCGTCTCAAAGTCTGCCGTAGTCAAGGGGTTAATGTGTTAAATGATATTTTTCGGACGCATCGTATTCCGTTTCATTTGTATGTCAAGGGGTTAATCGAATTGTGCAAGCATCTTACCGTTCGACGAGATTGTGCGACATCTCTCGAGGTCGGACTTGTTGCCAACAACGATAACCGATCGCTCCTGGGTGTAGTGCTCCCGCCATAGGTAATTCAATATCTCCTCGGCGATCTGGAAGCTCGTGCGAGACACGATGGAATAGACGACGATACAGGCATGCGGCTCGTACGTCGACAAAGAGTTCTCCACCTGCGCACGGCAAACACGGTAGCTATTTGTGAGTTCGTTTCTCCCGGAATCCATTGTCCCGACATTCGATGCACCGTAACGAAAGAACGCCGAGACGGATACATGAGAATTTCGAACTTGCTTTTCTACTCGTAACCATGTAATTTGTATGGGTTCGAGAAGACCATTACCGAGTAATTACTAAGGGATCCTCGGAAGTGGAGCTCGAGTCTCGGCGGACCTATTATGGTTTCTGCGTCCAGCAGCCCTTTATTAAGCGATAATTAACCAACGCCGGCGTCACGAAATAATTCGAGGCTAATGGCGGTAGCTGACGAATTTTCACTGTTATATTTAACACCACGGAATACAATAATCGGTTCTCGATGATTTCTGGTACTTTTTGGAAATAAGCATCGGATTTTCCAATTTAACCCCTCGCAACGTGACAACGAGACGGGCTCGTGGTTAATTACGTTCGAGTTGAAACAAAATTTGATTCTTCCGTTATCGAGATTTAGGAACGAAAGTAAATCGTGCAATTATGTGGAAGTGGGTGCGCTCTGTTGATTTCGACGACCTTGAAATATGTTGCCAAGATCTACATTTTGAACAGATTTTCCCTATACAGTAATTTCTCCCTGATTCGCGTTCAGATTGCGCACAAAAATGGACAATTTGGGAAGAGGAGATACGATTGTTCGAGCGTGATTATAATAATTAATTATAATAATAATTAGGAGACGCAAGGATAATTATAGTAATTATCCTTGCGTCTCTTTTTTATACTTGTTCACAATCTGAGTGCGAATTACGTGGAAATTATTCTACATGTTACTCGACTTTTGCTTCCGAGATGATGGCAAGAAATTGTTGTTCCAACTACATTACGTATTTATATAGAAGCAGAATTCGATGTAGTAACAGCAACATGGACTTTTGCATACACGATCGGGCATAAAATCCGCTGTCCAGTGATCAACGTACCTGTGAAAGAAATCGTAGTGCGAGGGGTTAAGGATATTTCTGATTTAACTGTGAACTCCGGGCGAATGATTCTTGCGCGGAGTGATTCTGCGTCGGAGCAATTTTCTCGGACATTTTTCAATTTTCCGTAGAAATTGCGGTCTTGTCCATACATACGTATATCTTGCCAATCGATGAAAGCTATTAGCGCAAGAACATCGGCAGTTCAGTCACGAAGAATAAAGGACGTTATTTTCCAGCTAGAAAAAACGTATCAAAGAACAAGCGGAAAAAGTTAAATACATTTTGGAGAGATCGAAGTGACAGCGGAAATATGAAATACCAAACAATGGGTTTTATTGTCGTAGCGGTCGTTTTTCGGAGAACTCCTACACAATCTGTTGGTACTTGTTGAATATTCCGCGTAGCGTACCGGAGCAAACAGTTTGTTTGATTTCGAGTTAGTTTCGTTGCATGCGGCTTTCGGCGCGTGTTCGATTTCACCGCAGTTTTATTTTACAGCAATCTGTATTATGAACTTTCACCTTTCGATCTACACCGTGATGCGATTAGACTTGCAGGAGAAAATGTTGCATATCTCTGCTCTACTTACGCTCATTTCCACGTGTGGATGATCGATGAAGACCATTTCCGACTCCTCGCCGTCCAACAGTATCGAGACTGTCTTCTCGCCGAATTCATCGTCTGCAAGAATAAACGTGCAACCCTTTGTGAATTTTTCATACGCGTGTTCGGATCGTCTTCGATCTATCGCGGACAATTTTTATTTTCTTGGTTAGCTCTAAGGAGGCAATTAATATCGATAAAGTATCTACATATGAGCCGTTTATTTTGAAAGTGGCATAAGTCACTTTGTTTTTAAGTCGATATATTTTAAGGGTTTGCGTTTTAACACGTTTAAAAATATGGATGCTAACTTTCGAGAAGATTTACTTGTATTTGTTATCTCGGGATACTGATATTTTTCTCAGTATAAATAATTTCGTATAAACATACGGTAAAGTGACTCGAGCCACTTTCAAAATAAATAGTTTAGAAAAATGACTGACATATATTAATTTTGTCCGACGTATTTTACCGAAGCGATGTTTTGTGAAAGGACAGTGATTTACTAAAATTGTTGAATGAATTACATATATAATAATAATTTATACCATGAACATATTTAATATAAAGGCTTGATTTAAGTATTTTTT